TGGCATCTCCTCAGGAGCCTCTGGCATGAAGGATATGGCAAGGCCAGGCCAGAGGAGGGAAGCAGTGACCTGCTTGTCCCTGAGGACAGTTCCCCCAGATACTCTGTGGCTGCTCTGTGCCAAAGGGAGGGGGCAGAGGGAGGAGCTATGCTTAGGGAAAAGCAGGGAAGGGCAGCATGTATGTGTGTGAGAAACAATGAGCTGCACATGTACACGTAATAGATATTTGGGCCAGAATATGTTATGGGTGTCTGGGTATTTTCTTGTCTGTATATTCCTGTGTTGGTCTGAATGAAGAGTATGTGTATCTCCTCTTAAGTGTGTGTGTGTGTGTTTACATGATTGTGCACCTGTCTACTAAGTGTGTGCCTTGTATATATGCAAATGTGACCTGGGTTTCTACGGTATGTGTGTGAGTATATTAGAGTATTTCTGAGTGTGTATGGGATGTGAGGTGTCTGTGTTTTAGTAAGGTTGTGGGATGTGGGTCTGAAGATTGGTAGTATGAATGTGTCCTATAATTAGGAGTATGGGTCTACAGTGCTTGTGTAATTGTATCTGCACGGAACTGTATGAGAATATAAGGGGAGAGAAGGCAATGACCTCTCTCAGTCAGGAGGACACCACCAATATTGATTGCGGTTGCCATGGAGACTGTGAGGCAGGAAGCACTCTCTTCCCACAGGCCACAGACAGGGAAACTGAGGCCCAAGGGAGGAGGATTAGGTCCAATAGCCTGGGCAGGAAAAAGGCTGCTTAGCCTTATCACGACCCTCTGGGGAGGGGACTTACTGAGGCTGCCTTAGGGACCAAGAGACTCAAGATCCTTGGGAGAGAAGGGACTATACTCTTCCATTCCTCCTGGCTGGGGCCTTACCCAGGAGCTATCAAAGCCCTGCCTGCTCCTTGGGAACCATTATTGAGCTGGTAGAGAAGCCCAGGGTAGGAGGGAAATCTGAACTCTCCAAGGGAGCCACCCCCACCCCATGCTGATGGTGTCCCCTGCCCCTAGAGCATTCCTGGAGCCCCTCCTCCATCTTCCCTGCTCCTGCTGCTGGTGGTGGTGGTAGTGCGTGAGTGTGTAGTGGGGTGAGGAGAGGCCTGCAGAGCCAATGAGCCAGAAGAGTCTGAGTTACTGCCACAGCTGACTAACATTGACTGAGCGCTCACTATGTGCTATGTGCTTACAGACATTATTACATTGACTTTTCACAATAAACCTATGAAGGAGGTACTATTATCTCCACATTATAGGTGGTATAAGAGGCAAAAGGAGAGTAAGCAAATCTTCCAGATCAGTTAAGTGTCAGAGCTTCAATTTTAACCCAGTCTGACTCTGAGCCTTTGCTCTAAACCACCACGCTACATTGGCTCCCTTCTTAGACAGCTTGCCCACCCAGGAGGCCCAGTTTAGGGGGACTGACCCAGAAGGATCCCTCCTCTTTTGTCCAGCTCTGGGATAAATGTGTCTCTGTGGGCTGACGGTCGGGGTGGTGGCTGGTCCCTACTGCTTCAATTTGAGGTTCACTCATCTGCAGTTCTACATGGCCACCACATGGGGTCAGGCATCCATCTCAGACCATACCTTACCCCTTTCCTCTCCTCCCACCCTGCAGCATCCCAGGAAGGAGTGGAAAGGAGGACTCAGAATGAGGGTATGCCTCAGGCAGGCATGGTCCTCTGCTTGCCCCTCCACCCTCCCCCAGGAAGAAGTCAACTCAGGGACTGCTTTTGGTTTCTCACACTTTAGAAAAGTTACAGATTTACAGATGAAACCAGCAAATATCTATCACTGTCCAAATTCCACACCCGGCATTTAATACCCTTCCTTCTATCCTCATCAGCAGATCCCCTTTTTTCAGCTAGCTTGGCCTCCTCTCTGTCCCTCAACACACCAAACTCGGTGCTATCTCTGTGTCTTTGCTCCTGCTATTCCCTCTACCTGGAATGCCTTCCCTTCTGCTCTCCTTCTATCCTACACTTCTTACCTATCCTTTAGAGGCAGCTTAAATTCTCTTCCCTTCAAAGCCTCCAGCCCTCAGCGGGCTCCCAGCTTCCTGAATTTCTCCTGAACTCATTCTTGGGCCCTCAAAACTCAGCATCTATTTCTGTAATGTTATTAGTGGGAACAGTAAAAGGAGGCAGCATAGCATAGTAGGTAACCCAGGGTGCCAGACTTCCTGGGTTCAAATCCCAGCTTTGCTACTTGCAATTAACTGGGCAAGTTCTTAATCTCTGTGTGCCTCAGTTTCCCACTTCATATGGTTGTTGGGAGGAGTAAATGAATTAATACACGGAAAGCTATTAGAAAGACTCCTGGCACAGAGTAACAGCTGAAGTGTTTGCTACCATTATTAATCACAGGACACTCCCCCCTTTACATTTCTATAAGCTCTTAGCAATTCCCAAAGGATTTCCACATTGTTATCTTGATGGCTTCTCATGTCAACCCCATGAGGTAAACAGAGTGAACAGTATTGTGCCCATTTCACTGATGACGTAAACGAGGCCCAGAGAGGTAAAGGGACTTGCTTAAGGTCACCTAGCTAAGAGGAGATAAAGCAGATTTGAACCCAGATCTTTCTGGATCGGTCCTGTTTTCTCAACTAGATTCTAAGCTCCTAGAGAGCAAAGATGTTAAAAAATTGGATGTACACAAATTGAATCCCAGGCTCTGAGCTGATGCCTATGGAACAAAGGTGAACCAAAAGGGTTCTAGCTCCCACTGGACAGGCAGAGACAGCCCTTTGAGAGAACTATAAAGCATCTATTCATTCAAAAAATATTTGTTGTGTGCCTACTACGTGGTAGAAACTGTTCTAGGCAAGCTATGAAATGAGCTATAGCAAAAGCTTTCTAACTGGGAGGCCAGGAAAAATTTGGAGAGGGTATTTTTTGAGGTGGTTCTTAAAAGATGGCTAAAATGTCAACAGCTCACCTTAACAAAGGGATCAACATTTATTGAGTACATTTTGTGTCCTGAATACTTTACATATATTATTTCACTTAGTCCTCATAATAAACCTAAGAGAGAGAGTCTATTATTCCTGTGTTTACAGGTGATGTGGTCAGAGTCAGAAGTAGTAAATCCATTTTGCAGATGAAGGAATTGAGGCTCAAAGAAGTGATTTTCCCAAGATAACACAGATGATAAAGGATGGATCAAGACTTGAACCGAAACCAATGATCTGCCAGCTCCCTCAGGCTGTCTCTCCAATCTGTGTGGGAGTATCAAGGAATCTTGGGTGACTATAGCTTAGTTCATGTTGGGGGAGCTATGAGTGATAAGACCAAAAAGGGTCGGATTCCATGAAGCTTTGAATGCCATGCCAGACTATGTGGATCAACAGAGGCAGCACAGCACATCTCCCTGCTCTCTGCTGGTGATTCACAGATGGAAGACTGACAACTTTGCACCCAGTTGCCCTGTCCCTGGACTCTCCTCTTCCCTCTCTCACCTCCACCCTCAACCTTCAGAGACTTAGCTCTTCACCCAAAGGAGTGAAGTCTTAATGGAAGCACTTCAGGCAGAGTGAGGGCTCACAGAAAAGAATCTTGAAGCATTAAGTGGGCCCTCTCCAGTCCCTCAAATCTAACCACAGAAATATTCCTATCATCTAGTCGTTTACCTCCTAGAGTAATACTGCCTTACGGGTGGGGGACCCACGCTATGCAACTGTCCCACTTTCCTGTCTGCACTTGCTCCCCCAGTGAAGACTCCAGCCAGTGAAGATCGCAGAGCTCTTCTCTCAGTCCCCCAGCCCCACTACATCCCCAGCCAGGCCAAAAGACATAGCAGCCCCCAGCTGCATCAGGTGATTAATGACCTCCCTAGGCCTTGGGGCTATTTTGGGGCCTGGAAGTCATGCCTGCTATGATTGAGAGCTGGCCCTGCCTGGCTCCAGTCATCTGTCATTGGAGACAGGCCCAAGCAGGGGGCTTGGGAGATGCACGCTCCCCAAGAGACTTCCAAGCATGGCTCTGGCTCAGCCCCATCTCCCCCACTTCTGGGAAGCACATGGCAAGGAGAGCCCTACCTATACTCTAGGGACTCAAGTGGATACCATGGAGAGAACCAGAGAACTACCGATCCCAGAATGCCACCGGGCTAGGTTGTTTTCATCTCCCCAGGCCAAGTGGGGAGGAGATACTGGATTTTGTGGGCCCTGCCAAGGCAGTCTTAAGAAACCCAAGTGGAGGTGTGTGTAAATCTCAGCAGTGCCATGACATGATACCCACAATCCACATGTCATAAATCCCACAAATCTCACACCAAGGTACAACCTTGTGAAAGCTACACAACTAACTCAGGAATCCCCAACCCAACTCTAAAGCATAGAATTCCAGGTACATGCAGTCTCACTCTCAAGGATATGCAACCCCAGGGATGCACAGCCCCAGTGATCACAACCCCAATGATGCACAACCTCCTTAATACAGGTTCCCAGAGATAGAAAAAACGGTGACATACAATCCTTATGCCACACGAGTCTATCCATCCCTTCATACACTAACTCACTAGCTGAGTTCATGTTGGTCTGTTCCTATCTCAGGATTTTTTCCTTCTGGACACTGACCCCAGTCATCTTAATATCCCATTAAACTAAGCAATTCAGCAAAGGGCTGTGCCTTTTCCCTGCTCTGCGGCAAGCTGCCTCCTTTTATCCTTGTGAGGGGACTTGCCCCTTACATCCATCTGCTTGAGGTCCCCTCCTCTGCCCTCAGTGAAAAGCCCTGGCCCCTCCTCCACCCTTGTGAGGGACCGTGATGCCTCCTCTCCTTTCTTCTTTGAAGACCCCCTATCTCCTCCACCTTCTCTGTATGGGACCCTATCCCTAGCTCCACTTCTGTCAGGGGTCTTGCCTTTTAAACTCCTTTCTTTGAGGGATCATGCTCCCTCCATCTCTGTGAGGGGCCCTTTCCCTCCCCACCTCTGTAAGCCACCTATCCCATTTCACTCATTTTTTGCGGGGTCCAGCCCCCTTCTCCCTTCCTCATACCTGGCGACAGTGACCCAGTCACCAGCTGATAGAGGGATCGCGCTGCCTGCCCCAACGGGCTCCGGCATCTGCGGGGGCATCGGTTCATGGTTCGGCAGAGAGCGCAGCAGCCAAGCTCCGCCCCCAAGGCCCTGGGCGGTCCAGTCTCCGCCCTCATCCTAGTGGGCCCTGAGTGGGCGGCGCCGGAGGGGCGGACCGGCAAGACGAGGATCTTAAGACATGAGAGCCTCATTCCGTTCCCTATCTTCTCCGGGCCACATGAGGGGAACTCACCATGTCCCCATCATCTGAAGCACCCGTCCCCAAAGTTCCTCTGCTGGTGCGAGGTGGCGACAGCGGTAACGGGGGGACGGACTCTACTCACAGCCTTCTCTGGAAATGTTTTCTGGATTTCTGACGGGGAATGGAGCACCCACGGATTTTGAAAAGGGAGCTGGAAGGGGAATAAACCTTATCTTTTACTGCCCCTCTTCAGCTCCCCCTTCTCTGCCTGTCGCACCCCTCCTCCTCTCAGTTTGATACGGAGATGCGAAAGGGTAAGAGGACACAGTTGTCATGGTAACTTCCCACACTTTCAGACTTCCTAGACCAATGGGAGAGAGAGCAGGAGGGAGAAGGAAGAATTGGCCAGTGTATTAGGATGGCAAAGAGGAGGCAGCAGGGATGTGCCCCTGCTGGTCTCTGTCTCCTGGCTCTGAATCCCCTTCTCTCATAACTGTTTTGTGTCCCTCTGTCCTGGTGCAGCAGGTTCACACATTTTCCCATCATACGCTGACAGCCAGTCAAATGCATCAGGAGAGGAGGAAGAAGAAACCCCCCTCAGTGCCGGCCCTGACCCCTTTTTCCTGGATTATACCCAAAGTAAACCCTTCCAGGACCCAATAATGATTTCAAACTGCTGGGAGAGCCTACAGGAGACATAGTCCCACTCCTCCGACTGGGATTCCATATTTTTGGATAAAAATCCTACATAGGTGAGGCGAGAGTCAACTGCAAACTCCACGCAAATCTCACCACTTGATCTGGCGACATTCCCTTTCGGAATCAGCTCCACTAAGCCAGAAGCAGCAGCGTGGCTCCTCTAACACCACACGGGGGCGCCCCTGTCCGGGGAACGATATCTATGGCCAGAGGGACGGGACTCCGGAGATCCCAGGTCCAAGGACCCAAGCTCAGGCCTTAGCCAGCCAGGTCTCAACTCTCTCATCTCCAGTCCTTTCTTCACTTCCGGCTAGGACAGAACCGCTGCTGATCGCTGCCTTTCCCCACCCTCCCGCACTAACAAGCGGACCTGCTCGGCTCGGAAGACTGAAAGGGTTAGAGGCAGGGCGGGGCTGGGATTTTTTTCCCCCAGAAGTCTCCCCAGTTTTGTTTCGAGCCTGGGGTGGGAGTAGAGAAGGAAAGCGGTCGAGGGCCCCCAGGATGTCCTGAGGTATGACTTTAGGGCCCCCTCTCTGTCAGCCTGATGGGCCAGGATGACGGGAGCCAAAGACTACCCTCAAGTCTGATCCAAGGAATCCCGCCTGCACGGGAAAGGAAATCTGGGAACTCGGACGGCCCGGCTGCACCTTCGCCCTGCGCGATCTTCAGCACCGCGGACAACGACTCCCCTTCAGGCTTCAGCTCAGGCGTCTCAAATCATCCAGCGCCTTGAACGTCGGCGTCCCAACCCCATTTGTCTCCCGCTGTAAGGTAAGACCTCCTTGGAAAGGAGAGCTCCCGGTAGCCCTATTTCTACTTTCCTAGTCGTGTGTGGAGCTATCTACAGCGAGGATGCTGATGATATGGAACGCGATTCTTGACGCTCGTCAAGATTTGACCTATTTCCCGTGGGAGGCAGGCAGTGGTATTCCCCATTTTACAGATGAGACAAGTGAGCCCCAGAGAGCAAAAGTTATACATAGCTGGTACTCACACTTCATTCCTGCACCTTTCAACACGAGCGCTTCCCCACCTTCATCCAATCTGATTCAAATAGCCAAGTGGGGAGGGGATGATTCCACTAAAGGAAGAATCAATTAAAGCAGGAAGTAAACAGTAACTAATGTGGTGTTAATGAGGGCCCCGGGGCCCTTACTACTCTCAAAATCCTGAGTTGGTGAGAACAGAGTTCAAAGCAGAGCCAGACAGCTGGACCTTTGAATTCCAACCAGTTTTGAGACACATCTAGGGCCTGCCTGAGTGGAAGGGCTCCCCCTTCTGCGGGTCTCGGCATAGGGACTATGACCTCTCTAGGGTCAATGAGTGGGGGAGACACTTTCTCAAGGCATTACAGCCTAGTCCTCTCCCTCTCCCCAATTCTTAACCTCACTTCTCTCAAGACAGAAGAGGATCAAAACTTCCCTTCACCTCCCCAGCTCATTTCAGACACAGGGGAGACAGTCTCCCTCCTCCCATTCTCTGTTGAGGTTCTTGAGCAGGCTGCACAATGAGAGACAGAAACACACACGTACATGGAAATGTACACAAGGTGACACAGTCACCCACACAAACACATGGATCTGCCTACCAAACCCAGAAATATGCACAGGCACAGATGTACTGGTCTCACATACCTCCCTACTGTGGGAGAGAGACGATGCCTGGGCAGCTAAGTGGTTTGGGGAGGCCCTATGGTACCTCCCAGGCCTAGAGCTTCTATATCTGGGTCTGGAAGGGAGGCAAGAGGGTGTTTTTCTCTGGGTTTGGGTGAAGTTCTGAGAGGGCTGTTGGGGGCCGAAAGAGCTTCAATTGTAAGAATGATCTCTGAGTACTTTTTGGGGGGGCTGACCCAGCACTAACCAAAGCCTCCCCACAGGGGCCAACTGCTGCTCCTGGGAGCCAGTCTGGGCAGCTGGAGACTAGAGTTCCTCCTTAGGTCCACCTGGGCTATTTGCAGAAAACATGGGGAAGCAGCGGTGTGCACTAATGACCCCCTTCTGCACCAGGAAGCCAGAGAGGCAGCAAGGGTAAAACGCGTCATAAACACTCACAGAGCCCCACTGCAGACATCACCACACAAAAGTACACAATCAGCATCAAACGCCAGTATAACCCACATAGTCTCACAATCACAAAACGACACAACCCACTTTAACAAATGCCTGTCCCAGGAGGTTCACAGTAATAAAGTGTTACAAAGAGACACATCACCATAAAGTGAAGCCCTGACACATTCTGGTAGTCATATGCCACTTCATACAGAATCACACACTTAAAGCACAGAGTTGCATATAGAACAGAGACACATGGTTAAAACAACTTCATTAGTACAATCAGGGTCCTACATAACCTCACTCAAACATCTGACAAGATCATACAATTGCATAGCCACACACGCAATCACATTCACCCTGGCTGTCACCAAGCCTAGGGCACTTTGCAATCAGCTGTGGGAGGTGCACACACATACACACACACAGACACACACAAGGAATGACAGGCGCTCACGCACGTAACACCTCCTTCAGACACTCTCCCAGCCTTGTGTCACACACGCCCACACCTGCTGCCTCTCCCACCTGCCGGCCTGCTCTCCCCCCACCCCCGAGGGACCTAAAGCTTTGAACCCTAGTCTCCTCCGCCCAGAACAGTGGGGAGGGTGCCTGGAAATGGGGTAGAGTGCGGGTAAGGGCCGGGCCGGAGTTAGAGAGGGTTAAGGGTCTGGGAGGGGCGAGGGTGGGGGGGGAATCTGCCCTCCCTCCTGCGACTCCTGAGCCACCGACTCACCCGTAAGCTGGTCATAGGATCCGTCCAGGTCCCGAGAATCGGACAAACTCTCCTTACGGCCCTGGCCCCGCATGGCCCCAGGCGCCCCCCTCCCGTCCCGCCTGGGCTGTGGGAGGGGGCGCCGGTGGCCGGGATAGGGCGCTCACACGGCGCCCCCTGGCGGTGTAGCACGCTGCTAGGGCTGGGGGCCGGGAGAGTCGGGACTGGGGATGAGTCTGGGGACCAGGCCGGGGTCTAGGGCCCACCAGGGGGTCCTGGGGCAGCAACGGGAGGTTTAGGCTGTAGGTGAGCGCAGAGCCGGAGGCAGAGCGGAGCTGAAAGCGGAGCCGAGCTGCCTTTCTCCTCCCGCCCCCTCCCCGAGGCTGTCACCGCGCCTCCCCCCTTTGGCGCTGCCGGGATTGGCTCCCCCTACCCCCGCCCCCTCCTCTTTGCAGCTCGGGGGAGGCACCCGGTGAAAGGGTGAGCTGGGAAGTGCAGGAAGGGAGACTGGCTCTCCAGAAACACTACTCCCTAAACCTGAAGCCAAGGGTCTTAGGGGTGGAAGAGGGAGCCGAAGGCCCTACGGTGAGGAAACCCCGCCCCCAATTCTCAGGCAGTCCTTCCCCCACCGTCAGCACGGGTCGGGTATGTCTCTGAGTCCCCTGTTCAGAGAGTCTCCAGGTCAGCCCCTATTTTCTCTGTTGTGCTCTTCTCATGTATCTGTCTCTGTGGCCCCCGCCAGGGCCCACCCTGCTTGAAGAGGAATGAGGATGCAGAATAAAGGTCAACTCAGCCTCTAATACAGGCTCATCTCAGGCCAGAGGGCTATCATTTTCTCTTCTCTCAGAAGGACCCCCCACCCTCACCCACTCCAGGGCCTGTCTCTGGGTCCCATTCACTCTCAGGGTGACTTCTTCCTTGATCTAAGGATCCCTATTGGCCAACGGGGAAGAAAAGGAAAAGAAAGTGAACAAGGTCTGTTTCTTAAGACTTTCTTGCTCTTTTGTTCCTTGTTTTTTTCTTTCAACTGTCCAGCCCTTCTCTCTTCTGTCACCTGCCCTGCCCTAGATCCCTTGTTTTCCAGAAGATCTGAGCATCCAGGTGAGGATACAGAGTGGGGAAGACATGTCCTTGTTATGAGGCCCTCTTCTCTTAGATTAGCTCCTTTCCTGAAGCCAGGGGCTAGCATAGAGCTGAGCCACCTCTGACTCCCAGGAATGGCTACTGAATGACTGAGTCTACTTGTCTAACCTTCCTCAGGATGATTCCCGGGCTCCTAGCCCAAGAGCCCACCCACTCACCATGAGAATGGACGTGAGCAATGACTGGTGGGTCTGGAGGCATGGTGGCAGGTCCCAGGTCATCCTGCCTGCCCAGCAGCTCCTCTGAGATTGAAAGCTCCAGCTAAACTGACCTGCATATTTAATCTCTTCAATTGCATTTAATTTCCCAAGGACTTGATTCAATTAACCCAGCAGGAATTGTGGTGGGAGTTCAAGCATGAAAGGGGTACAAGCAGCTGAAGGACTGTCTTATGGAGCAATGCCCTATTCCTGGCTCTCCCCTGACTCTAGAGGGTCCTCCACAGACCTAGCACAGATGCTGGGACATGGACAGAGAACGGGCAGCTCCTTGTGAGGTTGAATTCTAGGAGAGGATGGGATTCCTGTTTGGAGTTCTTAGAATAGGTATATGTCAATGGGCCAAGAGATGGGCCTTTAAAACGAAGGGCAGGGAGTTCTTTACTTATTGCCGCATGCCCTAGCCCTGCCCTTGTTCGTTTCATAGGAAAGGCTGGCAGGAATCCAGAAATGGCCCAGATGGCCTGGCTGGCCTCCTCAACACCAAGTCTGGAGATAAGCAAACTCTCTTCTCCCTCCTTTCACCTAGAAGGAAGGGAGGCTACAACTCTCTGAGAGGAAGTGGTTTCCACTAGGGCCAAGAGAGTCAGGAGCAGAGTCTATAAGGATAGGCACGGGTCCCCTAGCCAGACAGGACCAGTACCTAGGAAATTACCTTAACTCTGTCTTTGAGAAAGTCTTGGGTAACAGTGATTAAGAGGGGAAAAAAAGACACTAAAAAGACTGTCCCATACAAATCAATTTTTAATAACTTCAACTTGCCACCAGCTTCCAGCTCCAGTTCCTGTGAGGTTTATCACTGTGGAAAACACTAAATGCCCCAGGCTGAGCTATCCATCTAGTGATCAGAGATGACCCAGCCCCTGATTTCTTAAGAATCTACATCTATACATGGCAGCATGTTAGTGGATTCTCTGGAACTAGTGCACATCTGCTCAATGTTGGAGCCAGAACTCTGGTTCCCAAGGAGGGCAAGTATCCCAAAGAGATTTGAAACTAAGTGGATAGCAGCCAGGGAGGTTCCAGATCTGCTCTCACTGCTGGATTCCTGCACTTACTCCCAGATTCTTCCTGTGCTGCTTGCTCCCTGCCATCCTGAGGGCTTTAGAAAGTGCTTTAGAAAGGGAGGATCTCAGAGCAGCAGCTACTTAGGAGGCAGCTGTTGGGTTGGGAAAGCCTACAGTAGTCCCATGGAGGCTGTCCAGAGGAGGAACCACAGGCCAGCTTCCCAAAGGTCAGGAGACTTGCCTGTGTCTCCGTCCAGAATATAGGTAGACAGAACGGCCTCTCCATGACGCTCACCTGGCCTCTTTCAGATGGAGGGCACCCTGCCTCCAGCAGGTTCTCTCCCTCCCAGGCACCAGACCACAGCAGGAACAGATTCCACCCCAGAGGAAATTCTCAGGCAGGCTGGATGTAAACAACAGCCGGGGTGAGGGGGTGGAACACGTGGAGGGGAGCTCAGCACAGGCAGGAGAGGCTCCCAGAGGAGGTGGTGGCTGGGGAGGTGGGGAAGCTGCTGGAAAGGGAACCAGCAAAATAGGCACCTGAGGGCTCCAGAAAACCTGTCAATGTTTATTTCACACACACACACACACACACACACACACACACACACTCTCTCTCTCTCAAAAGCCATTTAAACCAGAATGAAAATGAAAAGCTAAGGTTGTGACTCTATAAGTACTGACGAGTCAATGGGTTGGAAGGCAGGAGAAAGCTAACAGGTACTCCTGGTGCCAAGAAGCAAATCCAGAAAGTGGTAGCTGGACAGCAGAGCATTGGGTGGATTCTAATCTTCAGTCTCCTAGAGAAGTCACCTCTGGATTTAGAAAATAGAAAAAAGGTATCCCATTCCTACCCTACCCTAAGCCTGAGATAAGGTCCTAACGACAAGGGGACACTTCAAGCCCAGCTCAGTCCCAGGCCCAAAGGAAGCAGAATTGGCTCCAGCTACATCCGAGTCTGTTTTCAGAAGCCTAGGAGAGCCATTGACCCTCAGGGTGTTGGCATCACCCTAAGGCTTGCCCCAACAGTTCCTGAAAATTAGTCAGCAGCCACAACTTATAACCTCAATTGGAAATGTGAGGAGGTGTCCAGGGAGCCCACCCTGGAAGTCCCCTTCTTGAAGGCTTCTCCCTGTGCCCACCCATCCCCATCCCCCCAAATAAGATTATCCCTGGCTTGCCCTTCCTGGCCCCTGCTGTCCAAGTTCCACTGAAGTGCAGCCATCACTGAGAGAACTTGGTATCTGTTTTTCTCCAACCTTGGGGACAGGCCCCTCTCCCCTCCCTGTCCCTCCAGCCCAGGAGCCTCATGAGTAAGGGCAGTCAGTGGCTGCTCAGGTACGTGTGGCCTCAGGAGATAGTGGAGAACTCCTTGAGCAGGACTTCCTGGCTGAGTGTGTGGAAGGCCAGGTTTCTCCGGACATTGGTGCTAATGGATCGAACCTGGGAAAGGGTGGAGGAAGGAGGGAGGGCACAGGCAGAGAGAAAACAAGAGAGAGTTGGTTACAAACAGTAGAGGGCAGTGCCTGAGGCACAAGGCCAAGATGCAGTGCTAGAAGTTTCTCTCTTAGAAAATGAACCCTTAACAGCTATCATCCCTGCAGGCAAATAAGCAAACAGTTCTGAAATAGTGGGAAAAAGAGAAGAGGGGCTGAGATAGAAAGTGGATTTGAGAAGAGCTATCCATCAAGTGATCAGAGATAACTTAGCCCCTGATTTCTGAAGAATCTGCATCTGAGCACCTGAAGAGGCAGAAGTAAACACAGACAGGGAAAGCGGGCTGAGGTAAGGTCTTTGTCCTTGCCTCGGCCATGCAGAAAGGGGACTGGTCTGGTCAGTGGTCTGGTGGAGGAGGAGAAGCTGAAGCCAGAGGACTCATGCTCTGGAGCTACCTCTCTTTAGATGTGTTTCTAGTCTCCTCACTTTCCCTTTGTATTTATCTACTTTTTTGGGTTGGAAAGAACGTTTAGAGATGTAGCCCTTGTCTGGCGTACAGGGCAGGAATATGGTCCCAGGAGGCTAATGACCAGGGTCAGGTCACACAGCTAGTGAGTCCCAGGCAAAACCTAAGTTTAGTAACTCCTAGTCCAGTACTGTTTCCATACCACAAAGATGCCTCCGCAATTTAGAGGAAAGTCTCAGGTATATTCTTTTGTGTCCCCACTGCTCACCTCACATGCTTTCTACCCACAGACTGAGAACCTTGCAGGAAGTCTTGCCTGTGTCAGCAGGGAAAAAGACTTATGGAGAAGGGGTCAGAGGGCCAAGCTCTCTACTCTGAATGGGTTCTAAGAGGAATCCAGTAGATTCTGGAAGGAGATTCATTCATGAGAAATAGATGTAAATGTTGTAAGAGAGACAAAGAAGAGGAGGGATGAGAAAAATAACGTGTATCTATCCTGGGTCCCACAGTCCAGGGAGCTTTCCTTCAATTTCTGCTTTGCTATGGGAAACTTAATGAAGTCGCTAGGCAGAAAAGGGCAGTATGGCAAACAGCAGGCAGCTCAAGCTCATTAGCTCCAAACCTGACCAGACCCTCTTTGCTCCCCTGTTTCAGAGGTACAGATATAAGGAGAACTGAGCAAGGCAGAGGCTAGTGCCAGACAGCCTCGAGTCAGAGGTCCTCTAATTCTCTCCTCCAC